GTATGACTCATTTGTTTTATTTTTATCGAAGCCCCTATACTATTTTTTGATTTATTTTTGTCCTATACTTTCAAATTCTTACTGATTCAACTCTCGCGATTAACGATAGTTTGAGAGCCATTAATGACAGGATATATGACTAGATATGTCAAAATCATGGCAGACCAAAGATAACGTAATACATGACGTAACAGGAATGAGGGTTAGTGTTAATATTTAAATCGGTAAAAATTTGAAAATGCAGTCTAATAGACTTAAAAATAGTATGGAGACTTGAATAAAAAAAATCAAATAGTACAAGAACTTATAGAATATTTTAGCCATTTCTTCTCCTTTTTTTCCTTTTTGTTAATTTGAATTGCATAGCCAAAAAAAATTGAAATATAAGAGGTTATTTTTTATGCATAATTAACACATGCATTAGATTAGACAAGAAATTAAAATATTAGTTTAATAAAAGAAAATTATGTTGGAATTTTTTGTTTATTGAGCAATCCCACTAAAATCTATTCATCAAAAAATATTTTTTTTTAGCTAGACACGTTGTATCTTATTGAAGAAACTATAATTATACTAATGAACTAATAAATTAAGTCATATTTTTTTTTAAATTAAATCAGACATTATAAACTGAGACACTTATAAATTGATAAGTAATATAGTTTTAATAAAATTTCAACCCATTTTTTTCAAATAAATTAAAAGTTATAAATAAAAGTCTCCACTCAAATCTAAAAATCAAAAGTGCCGCCCAAAATTGCCTTCTTTGCTTGGGAGGCTAACAGAGAGAATATTTTAACTTTAGATAAGTTGATGGCTATGGGTCAAATATTGGTTAATGGTTGTTTTATGTGTAAGGAGGCGGCTTAATCATGCAGTCATCTTCTCCTTTGATGCCTTGCCATTCATAATCTATGGTTTTTTATATCTTAACTGGGTGGTTGGGGGTTCTATAAAAGACGAGATTTGGGCATGGAGTGGTGTAGGTTTGAAGAAGATATTATTAAATTAATTCCCTTTACCATTTTTTGGAATATATATATATATATATATATATATATATGAGAGGGTTTGAGGGTTAGAGATTGGAAAATATAGATTGAGAGATAAATAATTTAATTATTTTAAATTTTTTGTGTTTGAGCATGACATTATTAGGAATGAGAATTTTAGGGATATTATAAATTTCTTGTACATGTTGTACCCTCTGTTGGTACCTATTGATACACATTTATACTTTTTATTTAAAAAAAAAGAAGAAGAAGTTACAAATGGAAGTCAGACGTGCAATTTTTTTTTTATTCTTCATTTCTATTTCTTTTAGGAAAGTTGTAAATAAAATATAGTCGACAAACAAGATTATGAGTGATCTATTTTTTTTTTCTCTCTCTCTCTCATATATCAGAAATGTTGTGTCTGATCTATACACAATTAAATAGTAAGGTATAACACTTTTTAATTTACTTTAAAAAATAAATTGGTATAATTTAAAATATGTTATTTAAAATATCTTATATAAATTTATTTAAAATTAAATTTTTATAGGTATATAAGGTAATTCTAATTATATATAAAAAGTTAGATATTTATAAATAAATCGAATACATATCAATTAAAAATTAAAAAGTTGGTTGTTTTAATAATCCACCCATAAGCCAGAAAATTAATTAAGTGAAGATCTCATGAAGCTCACTGAAAAAAGTGAAAAAATATATGTTATTTAAAGGATATGGTACTCGCTCCATTTATATTTTGTTTATTTTTCTCTATGATGTAATTTTAATTCTCACTCTATCACTTATAAATATTTTGATTAGTTTAATTATAAATGAATATCACAAACACACATGTAGTATAGTTAGGATTTTGAATTAATTTTTCATATAAATTAATTAATAATTAACTTATACCATGAGGTAAATGCTTTGCACCTTTCTATCTCATATCATCCTCGAACTTAAATGTTTAAATTAGATCAATGTCACTATTTTAGGATCTTGATCTTACTTCTAATATGATCAGTGACAACTATCAATAATTTTAAAAATTTTAATACTATTTTTATGGGTTCACACTATCCATATTGTAATAATATCATTATTACTATAATCATTATAAATATTTTTATAATGAGCAAATAAAATTGGGATATGACACTTAACAAATAGGAAACTCTTAATCATATGAGCATGTAAATCTATAAGAACATGAGCCACCATCCACATTTGCATGGACCCCTAGATTCCGTAAATTCCCATATTCACTCCCTTTGTTCCATGAACTACTAACTAACTAGAGTTAGTTAATGCAAACATCCACCTACTAGTACTTTGAATTCTTCCTTAATTTATTAATAGTTCTCTCTATCTATACTCTTAATAATTACATAGATTTATCTACTAAAACTTTTAGGAGTATTAAACTCTTAGAAATGGAACTTAATCCTAAGTCTAAATTTATAACTCACTCAACCTTTGTAACCTTATACATAGGTGTGCATGTTAGCACTTAAAAACATTATGGAAAGCCAATATTATACCCGTAACGTAAATTCTTATGGTTAGAGAATTTTATAACAAATACTATCAAGTATGAATACTAATTTTTCTACTTATAACCTTCATCCTTACAAACATGTGTATAAGAAGTCGACATATATCGACATCTAACCCTACAACGCCAAATTCACGAGACTATTCTGGTTTGTCCCTCTATGGGGCATCATACTAACATAGTTACCAAGTCATATAGTATCAGAATAGGTTTGTTATGTACTTCTACAACAAAATATATGGAATGCAGAATACAAAATATGATATTAGATATTATTCTATATTTTTATTATGATAATTTTTTGTATTATTGGAGGAATTAAAACATATATAAAAAATAAAGTATCAATTTTAAGCAATACATCCATACACTGAGTGGTTTTATATGTTAAAAAAAATACTAGATATAAAAAGCAAAAATCATATTACACATGTAATTCAAATTAAGATTAACGATGGTGACAATTACTTGTGTGATTGCCATTGGCCAATAGAAGTTGCATTATTATTCATGTATTAGAGAAAGTGGTTGCCAAAATTTTTGCCTCACAATTGTTTTATTGTCAAAGCCATTCATAACCTCCTCTTTGGTGGGGTTTATGCTCGTGGTCAAATGCAATGAGATTTGAATTGTACTTTACATGTACATATTTAGATCATTTTTTCATGATTCTTTTATCTGATGGGCCTTCGATAATTATAGGTCATTCACTTAATCAATAATGATTTCAGTAATTTTTAATTCATTTTAAAATTTATTGGAAATGTACAATTGAAGTTGAAAATGACTTAGCCCATCACCTTTTCACATGGGCTATGCCTTCTGATTTTATAGTATAGATCTTTTTCTTTTGTACGACATTAACACTCTAATACGCATATATAATCATAAAAAAAAATTTAAGGATGATAATTTAAGTCTAAACTTGCTTAATTTAATTCATTTGAACTCGATCAAATGTCGCCTTTTTCATTAAAATGTAGGCTCGAGTCCTATTAAGTTTAGGTTGGCAAGAAAAGTAAGATGGTCGAAGGCGAGTTCTAGTTTGGCCTTTCAAATTTTTTTTAAATCTAACATGTTATTTATTTATATATTTTTAAATTATTATTATTATAAATATATTTAATATATTTATATTTATATTAATAAATAAATATATTTTAATATTTTTCTAAATATAACCGAGTCATGTTCAAGTCAATAATCTGCAAACCCTATATTGAAATTTACTCTTTATAAAAATGGATCGGATTTGAATTTAGTAAGAACTATTATGAATTCGGCCTGTTACCATCCATAACTTTATTAATTCCCTAATTTGGGTCAGTTGGGCCTGGAACCCTTATTTAGCAGCCCAATAGTAGAACCCAGGTGGAAAAGACGCCTCTCCGGACTCCGGTTACCTTTTTCTTCGACAATCGGCGATCGCTTCACTTCTAGCAATAATTTCAGCGAAAGGGCGAAGCAAGGATTGCATCGATGGGCGATAAAGGAAGAAGAAGAAATTCTTTAATGCTGCTGCTACTCTTACTTTCACTTTCGCTTCCACCGATTTCTCTGGCTTACCGACCGGGAGATATTGTACCGATGAGCAAGATGGGTCAATACCACTCAGTACGCAGCCAGTTTCTCTCTAATATTTATCTGTGCAAGTAATTGTTCGCTGATATTCATACGCGAATCAGCGGATTTCATTTGATTTTATTGCCGTGGGTGGTGCTGAGTATCCGTTGGTTTTATGATTGCAGTCGAGAACAACGTGGCATGATGTTATTGGAAAGCACTGCCCTATATTTGCGGTTAATCGCGAGGTGTCTCACCAGAATTTATCTAATTGATTGTAGGTTTTACCGGATTTGATTTATTTTCTACAATTCTAATATTCCGGATTCAATTGGGGTTTTCTAGGTGTTGATTCCTCTAGCAAAGCCGATGGGTTATACGGGAGCTGATCCCTATAAGATGTGAGAAACTGAAACTCGTTGCTTTAGAATTGGAATGAGTGAAATTTGCTTGGTGAGAAACAAAATGGCAGCGCAAGTAGTCGCAGTTGTGATGTCTTGATGCCACTTTATAATGTTAAGGCTGGAACAACAGGACAAAAAAATAAAAGAGGCTAGATGATTGTGCCTTGATGATGGGTTATAATTTTTCGAACTGAGTTTACCTGAAGTTTGTGATTCTTGTTTATTTGTGGTTGTGCTAGTTTGTGGCTTCTTTGCCTAACTTCAATCTGGATTGTGTGACAGCATTTGCTTCACCATTTCCTTGATCTTGTTCCAGTTTAAAGAAGTTCAGTTTAATGATATTGCTTTTTATTACATGTCTGCTTTAGCAACAAAGCCAGACTGTTGAAAATATAGTTTTTATCACCTAGGTTGTGAAGCGTTACTTCTTCTTTTCTGTTCGCAATTGCATATGCATTCCTGGCATGGCTTGCGCATCCTTGAGATTTTTGTGTGGCTGAGTACAGTGGAATCTTCTCCACTTGCTTTTAATTTTGTGTTTTACATGATTTTATTTATTGCTCTAATATTCTTTGATTTACGTGTCTTTATCTTTCTCTCATAAGCTTGATGGGAATGCATGCTTTTTGAAATGTGACTATAACTGCAGATCATTTCAAATTGGAAGAGAAAAGTTTCTAATTCCATGGCTTTTAGTGGTAAATCGCAAGAGTTCTGAGGTTCCAATGATTGATGTGCATTTGGTATGTCTGCTTATTGGGGCTTTTGTTAATTTAGTATACTGTAATTGCATAGGACA